GAGAGAGAGAGAGAGAGACAACGGGGATAGGGGTGCCAAATGAAGACGACTTATCTGCAATATCCGTTTCGTCCCTATTTTTTTAAATTATTTGTTTTCCCTGCGCGGCCCTGTGTGTGCCCGCCGGATGAGTTGTCGGCGGGACAACGTGGCGAGATTAGCGCCACTCCGCGTGGGGAGTCGCTGGTTTTGTTTTGCCCGCGTTAATCCCCCCCCCCCTCCTCCTGCCCTCCTCCCGCGCTGTGTACACGGCTGCGCGCGGCGCCCTCTGGAGACTCGGGAGGGAGGGACCTTGGGCACCTTAACTAGCGCGAAGCGGAAGCGAACAAGGATGTAAAGAATCGAGTCCATTGCGATATTTATTCACAGAAAAGTAACCAAAGATAAAATAAAAGAGAACCTTCTAAACGAAGACCGGAATGCAATCTTCGTTTTCTGCCTCCCTGCGTTGCTTCCTTTGCGACCTGTTTTTTTTTTCGCCCTCACCCAGTGACCCTCGCGCGCTCCCCGGCGACGGGCAATGAAGGAGTGGGGGGGGGGGCTAATGGACAGGGGCGGGAGGGAGACCGGGAGGCCGCTATCACAACTTCGGGAATTCTGTTTTTACGATCGTCTCTGTGCTGGCCTGCACACGAAAAAGAGAGAGAGGGAGACAAAAAAGGTGGGGTGAGAGCGATACAAACGGAGAGGTACAGAGAGGTAAAGGAGATAGAGGGAGAAAGCAGCAGGTAGCCCCACCCACAATACTCGAGCCAAAGCACCAAGTGCATAGTGTGGGATGGTTTCAGTCTCGTCAGGCGAGACACCTCACCTCCGCTGAGACCACTGTCCTTACGCTCTCTGATTTCATTGATAGCCTTGCTTGACAAAGCCAATTTGGCAATCGCAGGTCTGCTCAAATCCTCTGAGGTCAGCTGTTTTAACTGGGTGAGAGGTCAGGTGCCTCCTCTCTCTCCTCTCACGGGACTTAACCCAAACGTTACGTCTCTCATCAACCTCATTAGGAATTCCAGGTGGCTTAAGCCGCCACCAGAAAAAACAAGAACAGCATGTGCACAGAAACGTTGCCTTTCACAAGATTGTCCCCTTTTACATTTAGAGTACGCTCTCTCCTACTCGAGGCGCACGCCACCGTGTCACCAAATGAGTGCAGGGAGGAGCAGAGGGGCAGCAGCATCCCCACGCAAATTACAGCCGGGCTGCGGTAGGCAGGAGGGGAGCGGCAGCAACAGACGAAACCGCAGCAGTCCTCTCTCCCTCCCTCCCATCCGGGCCGGCCTTTGCACACAATCACATTGCGAGAAATACGATAACGATTGGGAGCTGGCCGGGCCCCGGCCTGCACTCCCCGGGGGGTCCCTGTGGCTCTACCAAGCCAGGGGCTCGGGGGGCGCTCGGGACCACCCCCTCCCTGTGGGTACCGCGGGCAGAGCACAGCCGCCGCCGCCGCCGCCGCCGCCCCCCGAGCTTTTGTGTGTGCACAGTGTACAATACACAAACGACTCTTCACGGTCAGGGGGTTTTACTCACCGACCTGAGCTGGCCGACGACTCAAAGCCACCCCCTCCTCCGCCCACTCGCTCACCTGGCCACGGCGAGCCAATAAAACAAACTGCACCGGGATTCGCAATCAACACAGGCAACTTTTACTGCCCCCGTTCGCTACAAGCAGGCAGCTTCTCCTACCCTGCCCCATCGCTCTTTCTCTCTCTCTCGAAAAACGTTTCCCCAGCAATATCCCCGACAATATCACGAGTTCGGAATAAAACCCACCAAAACGCCACAAGAGTGCGACGGCATGTACGCTCGTTTCCAGGAAAAGTTCTCTCTGTATTAGGAAAAAAGAGCTTCATGACTTTAATTGACAAGCGTTTTCAGTCATTCACAATCAAATAACTACAGCAGCCTGTTGAATCCCGAGAAAAAGCTGTGCACTCAAAATGTAAGGGACAACTTTGTTCCTAAAATAGGAAAGTTTTAGTGTACAGTTTGGACGAATTGGAGTTCAAGAAAACTTCGAATTGAATGACTTTGCACAGAGGCAAGAGAGAACTCCAAAGGTGCTGAAATTGCACCTTTAGTTGTAAGACCTTCGAAAAGTGCAGCTTCATCCTGTAAACCGTTCAACCTTTCAGAGGCGCGACTGGAAACCTTTGTCTTAAGACAGGGGGAAAGGGTACATGGGTATGGGTGTGCGCTGGCTTCGTGCCGCTGCTGCGAGGGGCCTCTGAAGGCCGCTGCAGGAAGCTGGAGGCAGCTGGAGGCCGCTAGAGGCTGCTGGAGGC